ACAAATACAAAAGTAGAATGATTAACCTTTGTGTTCAATTATTTAGATTTAACAATATTCGACCTATGCCCAACATTGTTCCACCCATATTATTACCCACTAAACCCACCTCTACATTGTTTTGAAGCTAATCCCAGATATCACAGACATTACTTCCATAAATATTTCTGTCTGAATCTCTAAAAGAGAAGGACTGGAAATAATTGACTACCTTCTTTCCTCTTTACACTAAAATATCCTGGATAAATTTCCCTGGGTCAATAAAGTACTTTTATCCTCCCCAAGAATGCCCCAAATTGGGCCCAAAATTATGGGATGTTCTTTTTGAGATATTAATCTCGTGAGAGTCCTTTTCTGACCAAAGATCCTCTTATGAATACTGATGTTCACCTTTTTTTTAAAGCATGTTTTTATTGATTTTTAGAGAGAGAGGAAGGAAGAGGAATAGAGAGATAAAAACATCTCGATGTGAGAGAGAAACATGGATTGGAGAGAGATGATATTCACTTTTATCTTATACTGTGCTTTCCGAATAAGAGGCTAAAATATAGCTTCCTCTATGAATGTGGGAGAGGAACAAAAAATAAACCTCAAGTCCTAGCCAGTTTGACTCAGTGGATAGAGTGTTGGCCCATGGACTGAAGGGTCTCAGGTTGCAATCCAATCAAGTACACGTACCTCAGCTGCAGGCTCGATTCCCAGCTGAGTCAGGGTGCATGCAGGAGGCAACCAATTGATCTCGGGTTGCAATCCAATCAAGTACATGTACCTCAGCTGCAGGCTCGATTCCCAGCCAAGTCAAGGTGCATGCAGGAGGCAACCAATTGATGTGTCTTTCTCACATCAATGTTTCTCTCTATCTTTTCCCCTCCTTTCACTCTCTCTAAAAATCAATGGAAAAATATCCTTGGGAGAGGATTAACAAAAAAATATAAAATAAACCAAAATAAACCTCAAGTTCTCAGCAACACTAGTCTAAAAAAAAAATGAGTCAGAAAGCAATAGTGTTCACTCACAATATCTTAAATAGACCGTGAAGGAAGTACAAGAATAAGTAAGTAAATGGGCATTCAATAATTATTAATGGGAAAGCCACTGTTCACCAAATTCATGTAGGAAGCTAGATGCACATTGGTCAATGGCCAACCAAGGGCACTCTCCACCAGAGTAATCTACTACAGAAATAAATAGAAGAAAACAAAGAATTATAAGGGAACCAGAATATAGGTGACAATAGGGGAGAACAAAGAGAGACTGGGGTCTAAAAGAACTTATATTTTCCTGAGTGGGATAGTTGAGAAATGAAGACACCAAGGCCTGAAAGACATGACCTTTTCATAGTTACACAGAAAAAGAACCAGGGAAAAAACTGGTCTCTTGACTTCTGATGCATTATGATGTCCACCTCAAGGAAGACTAGAGATGCTCACTGTGGACATTTCTTGCTCCTACAAGACAGGTATTGTGGCAGTGTTGGTTTCTGAAATGCGCCTGACAGTTGAATATAATGTGAGAAATGGAGATGTGTACATGTTTCGGGTAAACAGCATAAACAGGTTTGTGTGATATATTCTGACAAGACACACTACCTGGCTTGCCTGACATGTAGGGACAAACATAGGCAGTGTTGAGGAAAGGATGGAAAGTTAGGTTGTGACCAGATAAGACAGGGGCTCAAATGCCAGGTCAAGTTGTTTGTTATGAAGGCTCTCAAGAATAACAAAATTCTATGGTTTGAAGGCAAAGAGTGAAGAAAACACCATGATTTATGGGTCACTGGGATGAACACAGATTATGATTTTATATATTTCATCTCATATTTAATTCTAATTCCTTGTACTTATTAATGAGAATGCTTAGGAAAGCATTTTCTAAGGAGAGCTTTCCACTTGTTTGAGAAATGGGCGTGGGGGCACGGTGGGGTGAGAGGCAGGGATTTACTCAAGGGACAGGCATGAGGAAGTGAATTGTGCAGCGAACAGGCTGTGCAGATTTCAGTGGATCAGGAATCTGGAAATGGAATGGTGAGAATTGGTGGTAACAGCTACAACGTGCAGCCGACAGCCTCATTCCTGGGACTGGAGAAGAAATGTCACAGAAGACAACAGGTAAACCTTCAGGGACCTCCCACCCCCCACAGTATTTGAAATGAGTTTCTATTGTGATCTCTGTTAGCTTCTATTTTTTAATAGATATCAATACCATAGACAAAACAATCCAGTCACATATTCTAAAGAGAGTGGATTGGGAGGTCCTTTATATACATAAGCCAGAACACTTCTTAGCCAAAAAACTACTTCCAAGTTTACTATGGGTAATTATTATGATTGAAACACCCAAACTCAATGTTCTAAGAGGGGCAGTGAGAACAGCTTATCCTGTGAAGCTAGACAAATTTGAATTTGAATCCCATGTTTTCTGCTTACTAGTTGAGTAATCTTGGGCAAGTTATTTAACCTCTCTGAACATCACTGTGTCATCTGTAAAGGTAGAGAATACCTACGATCAAGGTTGCGGAGAGGATTAATAACATATGTGGAAATGCTTTCCTACAAAGTGCCTAGTACACAACTGATGTTTGTTTCTTCCTTCTTGGTGAAATCAGTGCCAGATAAAAAGGAAATTACTAATAAACAAACATCCTGTAAGCTTCCCAAATATCCTATATGCTTCCAAGTTCAATTTCCTTTACTAAAACTTTCCAACAACTGCTAATAGAAAAAGATTCATTTCCTTTTTTTTAGCTACTCAGTAGGATGGGTACTAAGTGTCAGGCACATACACTTAAAAAGAAGAATGAGAACAACGTGTATAACCCAGTAGTAAAAAGAAAAATAAACACGTTTTTACAATGAGCAAAATGTCTGGGTAGGCATATTTCTAAAGAAGATATACAAATGGTCAACAAGTACATAAAAAGATGATCAACGGCATTTGTCATTAGAGAAATGCATATAT